CTTACCTGATTTTGGTATCCACAAAAATATTTGCTTCACACAATGATTTGGAAGCATTTCATCTTTTCCTAGTTTGTCGGGTGAACTAAGTAGAGTTGGTATTTTTTCTTCCTTGAAGTTCTGTTGGATGCTACAGTGAATACACCTGGTCCTAGCCTTTGTTCAATTGAGAGACTTCTTATTACTGCTTCAATTTCACTACTAATTTTAGATAGTTTTGGATTATTGATTTGGTCCCAATTCCAATATGCTATATCACATGCATCTGTAAATGTATTAATTTGTTGTAAATTTTACAGAGTAGTGTGGGGGAAGTGGTAGCCATGCCTGCTTAGGAGCTGGCTAAAGGTATGCCTGACTCGCTTTCGAGGGCATGGTCAGGGTGATGTAGAGTGAGAGGTGGTCAGGTGGTGAGTCACTTTCAGTTTCCCTTTCAGCTTGCTGTACAGACTGCTGCCTGGATGCTGGCTAGGTTGCTCTGTAAGTAAGGCTTTTTCCCTATTAAAATCCCTTGTATCTCTACCTGGCTCTATATTGGTAATTTTCCGCATTATCTGGTGTCAGGAACGGGATCTTGGCCCCATTTGGGACAGCCTGTGGTTCCCACCAGGACTGCAGGCCTAGGCCAGGAAAGCACCCTCTCTCCACAGGTGCTCCCCGCTCGCAGCTGACATGCTACCCCACACAAGCCCATTCCCACTGCTGCTGAGCCTCTCTTAACTGTCTGCCCTGCTGGGAGACAGTTTATAGCTTCGTGCACAGGACTGGCTCGGACTGCCGCCTACCTGCACCCTGAGGCCTCCTGCCCTAGAACTGAGTAAGCCTCAGCTTTCAGCAGCAGCTTCCCCTGGCCGCTACAGCATAAAGCTGCGTCTCTTTTAGTGGTTGCAGCCACAAGGCAATATACTGTCTAAGATAAGCACAGCTGCTGTTGTGACCTCATTTGCTGTCATCATCTTGCCTGACCAACCACTGCCAAATGCAGCACCGAGTAGCTGAACGCCTACACCACCTGCTGGTCAAAGATAGTTACTGCATCTGAAGTAGAAATCAGGTAAAATAATGGTGGAATATTTATCATTTGCTAAAATTGGTAATATTTTGGCTTATTATGTGAATTCAATGTTTGAGGAGGACTCTGCTCTGCCAATTACCAGCCTATATGCCATAACGGCAGTTAGCTTGCTGGTACAAATAATATTACTAGCCAGAGGACTCAGGAACAGACACAAGGATAACCTCACCACATACTTACAGAAAAAAACAGCTTTACACAATGAGGTTTTGGAGAACAAATTAGGTCAGACCACAATTGTGCAACAAGTGGAACAGAAATTGGATAATAAGCTTGGCTCTGTGTCCTATATGCTAAAGAAAGAGCTGTCTGTTACATAAGATGAGATGCAGCATATTTATGATAAGATAAACACAGAGAGATCCTTCATGTCTAAGGCATTAGAGGCTAGGATGTCAGAGACCCGTGATGAACTAAAGAACTGTAGGCAGCTGGAAACTGAGATAGGCACTGTTAACCAGAAACTAGATGCAAAGGTGCAAAATACCCAGGATAGGGTTGAAGAATTGGACAATAACATTCAATCAATTATTGACGCATCTACAGCAGCACATCACAAATTTGAGTCAAGATTCGAATGTTGGGAAGATAATTTACAGTACAGGGTTGACAGATTACATAGGTCCATAGGTCTATTGCTGAGGACTCAAAATAAGCAAATCATGACCTCAAATCTAGACTCCAATACCTAGAAGGCAGTTTCCATACCATCCA